TTTTCCTTAGAAAAAAGGAGTTTTACGTTCCTAATGCCTTAGAAAGGAAACTTTTTTGAAAAAAATATTATTTTTATAAACATTTCTTTTTTAATTTACCGTTTTCAATTAGCAAATCCGATTATATGCGTTTATCTGTAGGAAATGTCTTTTGATATGTAACAATAATTTGATATTTATTTAATAATTAATATCAACAAGAAAGGAAAGCTAACTTCGGGCGGAGCCGAAGTTGATATCTGCAGAATATTATAAGCACTATATTCTCCAAAATTATTCATATGATGCATTCTTAATACTCATAAAAATCCCAACTTCCTAACTTTAAAACACCAAAGTTATGGCATTTCCAATCGTTCAGTTAAATGGCAGCTATAGGATATAGTCAACCGGAAATTTGGTAGGTCCGGATTGATTAACCAAATATAAAACCCATAGAAAATCCCAGCTTCTTAACTTTACAAACACCAAAGTTATGGCATTTCCGATCAATCAGTTATATGGCAGCTATAGGATATAGTCGGCCGATCCTTATGAAATTTGAAAATCCCAACTTCCTAACTTTACAAACAGCAAAGTTATGGTATTTCCGATCAATCAGTTATATGGCAGCTATAGGATATAGTCGGCCGATCTCGGCCGTTCCGACTTATATACTGCGTGCAAAGGAAAGAAGGGTGTGTGCAAAGTTTCAATTCGATAGCTTTAAAACTGAGAGACTAGTTTGCGTAGAAACAGACAGACGGACAGACAGACGGACAGACGGACAGACGGACATGGCTATATCAACTCAGGAGGTGATCCTGATCAAGAATATATATACTTTATAGGGTCGGAGATGTCTCCTTCACTGCGTTGCACACTTTTGACCAAAATTATAATACCCTCTGCAAGGGTATAAAAATAGAATAATGAGAGTAAGGACAGTTTGCCAGCTGTTCTTTGCTAATACCTGATCCCAGAGAAAACCATCCACATCCTATTTGCTGAATGGTCTGTATGGTTATGGTTATGGTTATGTATCAATGCATAGATGCGATTTTCTGTATTTTACAGCCGGGTTAGCACTATCCTGAATTAACCTCGGTCCGTGATCGTGATTGTTGAGGCATTGTTCAACTTTGTAGACACAATATTGATTTTCGTAAAACGCATTTGGCTTATTATTTTTCTTGTTCTTATTTTAATATTAGGTGACAATTTGTTTAGTGCGCAAGTCACCACGCTGCTCCATTCATAAACTAATTTCATAATTACGAGTAATATTAGGGAGTTTACTTTTTTGAAGTGGTCTTCCTTAATTGTCTTTTTGAGCAACAACAAAAATTATTGGAGTTTGCATAGAATTCAAAACTAACACTCAAATAATCTTCCACATCATAAAATTGTATATAATATCTATTTTTTTTAAAACTCTGTTTATTTTCTTCAGAATCAATAGTTTTTTGTTAATGCACAAACTACGGAAACCTTGTACAGTAATTGCAAGAAAATTATTATAACTATTATTATTATACCCGTTACTCGTAGAGTAAAAGGGTATATTGTATTCGTGCAAAAGTATGTAACAGGTAGAAGGAAGCGTTTCCGACCCTATAAAGTATATATATTATTGTTCAGTATCACTAGCCGAGTCGATCTAGCCATGTCCGTCTGTCCGTCTGTCTGTCCGTCTGTCTGTCTGTCCGTATGAACGCTGAGATCTCGGAAACTATAAAAGCTAGAAGATTGGCATTTTGCATGTAGATTCTAGGAGTTCCTTCGCAGCGCAAGTTTATTTCAAAATGGTGCCACGCCCCCTCTGACGCCCACAAGCCACAAGCTGTGGCCACAGTTTTGATGCTATTATGAAAATTTTAATTGATATGTATTTGTTTCGTCAATACCTATCGATTGGCCTAATAAAAGCTTGCCACGCCCACTCTAACGCCCAAAAACACATTAAACGCTTAAGCCTGGCTAGCGCCTACATTTCCGCCTTTCATGGCGCCATCTAACGGATGACTTTGGAACAGCTGGCCAAGGTGCTCAACAGAGTCAACGTTAATTCTCGATAAGGATTTCTATTAAAGGAAATTGCGATGGTTTTCATTTGTCAATACCGAACTATATCCCAAGAACTATGCAAATCAAATCAAGTTAGCCAAATTAGAGGTCTGAGTCAAACAATGGCGTATGTGTGTATGTATGTAAGCATATACATATGTATGTATTTACATTGTACACAGTTGCAATTGCATATTTATATTAAGTTGTTTAGCTGAGTAACGGGTATCTAATAGTCGAGGCACTTGACTATAGCGTTCTCTCTTGTTAGTAATGTAGAAGTTTGCTTCCTTTCTTGTTGAAATATACATTTGGACAAGCATAAATATCTCTTTGTCAATTTTTGCTTTAAATAACAATTTTTAAATTTGTAGTAAAATTGTATTATTTTATGCAAAAATGACTTTTAAGCAAAAAAATATTACAACAAATATACAATTTCCTTTCTTCAAGAGAGGCTTAAACGGAACTTATGGGAACACAGAATAAGGAATTATGAAAGACTATTTAAAAATTATTTCCGTGATCTGCTTTTATTTGTATTTATAAAGTGCACTATTAAGTGCTGGTTTAATGCGGTTCTACTTAAAAACAAAGTATTTTTAATTATTTTGTGTAGTTGATCTTCCGAAAATAGATACATTTATTATTTAATTTAATGTATAATCATTTGATTGCTTCAACCTATTATTCTTAAGAATTTTAATCTTAATTTTTAAACTTTTTTCTTTTATTTATAATGCTTCTTGACATGTGGGGATCGTGGTGTTGGATGACCCGAAAGTAAAGGTACGCGAGATATCATATGCCTCAAGGACTATTACTGAGCCCATACGCCATAAAATGTTGCAAAATAGGTGGAATATAAGTCGATCTGAAGGGGAAAAAATGAGTAAAATTATATTGGAGTAAGTGATAGTTGATTCGATTGTTGTATGGGACCTATATCATATAGTCATCATATCGACATATAAACTACTTGGAATAGAAAAAAGACTTTTGGAAAAGTTTTATCCAGATAACATAAGAACTGTGAGACTAGTTTGCTTAGAAACGGAGGAACAGTCCGACAGACGAACAGGCGGACCTGGCTAGATCGACTCTCATGATCAAGGAGTATATACTTTATAGGATAAGAAATTTATATTTTACGGATCCAATATTTTTTAAATGTTGTCCACTGACAAAAACTAAAACAAAAATTTAAATAGCCCCGAGTCAAAACCCAATAAGAAAGGACAAACTCATCCTTCACTAAGTTAAATGTTTGGGTTTGTCTTGCAAACAATAGTAGCAGTGAATGTCACAAAAGTTAAGTATTAAGAAAAGGAGGTAACAACATTTAAAACGCTAATAAAGTTGTCAGTTTTTCAACAACCGAAAATTCATTAGAACAAATGCTCGTATTTCAATTTTAAGGTTAATTTTGAAATGGTAAAGAAAAAAAATTAACATGACAAGCTGTGCAAACATTGCTGAATGTCAAGTGTAATAATGAGGTAGTTCGATTAATTAACACTGCGCAGATAGCTCGGCTATAAAAGCCATCGCACTTACCCAGCTTAACCAAATCACCATGCGCCTCTCGATCGTATTCGGTCTCGCCATCCTCGGCTGCCTCCTCTTCATCCAGGAGGGCAGTGGAGACTCCACAAGCACCACGGAGGCGGCCACAACCACGACCACTTCCACTGCCACCACCACTACGGATTCGTCTGCCACCACCACCACCACCGCCGCCTCCTCCACCACCACCACCGCGTCCTCCTCTTCGTCCTCCTCCTCGGCGGCCAGGAGGCGCAGGCGTGCTCGCCGCCGTCGACTGGCCCGCGAGCGCCAGCGCCGCGAGCGCAGGAGGCAGCGCAGGAATGAGAGGCTGCGCCTGCAACTGGAGAACCAGCGCCGCCTGATCAAGCGGCTGCGCGGATAGGTGGACCGGATGCAGGACGCTTGGGAAACGCCTTTCAGAGCTGCGAGCCACAGTCCAATTAAAGAAATTGAAAATATTTGAGCTGTTGTTTCTTGGTTATATCAAGGGCTTTTCTAGCAACGTATCAGATCCCAAAATAAACGGCATTAATTTAAGTTGTATTGTATGGTTGGTTCCGTATGGTTGGCATAGTATCAGTAATCAAAAATTAAATTATAAGCTCGATCTTTAAAAAAATGTCTTTTCTACAACCAACTCATAAATTGTTTCTGAAACAATATATTATCAATTACATACTTAAAAATCCAAATCTCTATGTCCCAGACATTATTTTTTGCGGGGTTTCAAATCACCTATACTTTGAAACAATTTCACTGCTTTTTTAATTACAATAAAAATAGATTTATACAGATTTATACAGGTACAGAAAATCAGGAACGAAAGTTCTGAGAAGTTACACAACAGGTTTTATCCTAGTCGCTGTTTACCTTTTAGCCTTTAAGCCTTTGTTTAACAAAAGACAATCAAATTTTATTTATCGATGAAAAGAAATTGATTTAACTTGAATTAACCATACTAAAATTTAGTTGTATTTTTGTGGAAATAATAGACCCGTTTATAAATAAATCCAGAGCCTTAAGGAGGGAGACTGCTTTAGACGCTTCAAAAAATCTATTTTCTTGAACAAATGTCTACCCAAACTATCCAAGAATGTGTCCCTAAAATTTCAGAAACAAATTCAAAATATTGTTAAAGTTACAGGAGAAATAGTGAGCAAGCGCTACGATTTTTTACCTACGATTTTTTATTTACAGAAACTTACTATTGAAGAAGCTGTACAATTAAAAATATAAAATTTTTGGGTTTTTTTCTGATGGAAATTGCGACCTGGATCTTTCCCGCCGCACGACTCATGCATACTCGAGGCGCCTCGACGAAATGTACCAGGCATAATATGACACTAATTTTAATGAAAAAATTTAAGATGAATGTTGAAACATAACAATAAAACCAAAAAGTTTCGTTGAAGTCGAATATTTATTTTCTCGGAAAAATGATTTTTTAAGCTTCTTAAGCACGTATCGCCCAAATATTTTTGGGATACCGATGGTTTTTTAGGTTTGGTTTGAATTATGGGATTGCCCTTACAAGCCCGACAGCATTAAAGATCAAGCTAAAGCTATTGTCGAGATCGATAAGCTGTGCAAACATTTCCAATTGTTGAGCACCAGCCCGGTATTTGCTGATTACAAGGTTTGTTCTTGTAGGTTCTGTCTCAGATTCCGTATAAAAAGCCCGCCCAGCTTTCGAGATCAGACATATCACAATGCGCTTCCTATTCGCACTTGTCCTCGGCGTGCTCTTGTGCCTTCTCCTGGCTCAGGAGGGCAGTGGAACCAGCACAACCACGGAGGCGGCCACAACCACGACCACTTCCACTGCCACCACCACCACCGATTCGTCGGCAACCACCACCACCACCGCCGCCTCCTCGGACTCAACCACCGCGTCCTCCTCCTCGTCCTCCTCCGGCGGAGGCCAGGAGGCGCAGACGTGCCCGCCGCCGCCGTCTGGCTCGCGAGCGTCGTCGTCGCCAGGAGCGGAGGCAGCGCCAGGAGGAGAGGAGGCGCAGGATGGAGCAGCTTCTCAAGAGGCAGCGGCGCCTGATCAACCAGCTTCGAGGGTAAGGAGGAAATGGGGGCATTCATAATTATTGTCGCGGACAGCCCTTTTGTGGAAATACAAATACTGCATTAACTAATCAAATGATTATCGTGATTCCATTAATACATGCTTTGGGAATGGGTGGTCTGTGCGAAGGACTAGCTGCTCTGTGGGGCATTTTTTCAGGGCATTAAAGACATCGGCGTGCCCGCGCACATCTACAGATTCAATCAGTCAGGCGCGTATCAAGAAATGCGCACATTTCTGAGGCGGCAGGCAATTGGCCCTATCCCCGGAGTTTATTATGCCAGAGATTGAGCGCTTAAAAATGCTTTTCTTGTAGCCAAGCTCAGCAGCTCAGTCAGCTAGACGGGAATCAAATCAAATAAAATATTCATTTTGATCTTTGAACTGTGCATAAATGTGCGGCTGCCTGTCGATGGGACGGGGGCGACCTCAGCCCAGATACCAGATACCTAAATCTATTGGATGCGAATAAAAATTGTGATGCATGTATGTACATATAAAATATGCGGTTTGGCGGCGTCACGTCATCATCTTCCTTGAACCTTCATAAAGCCAGCGATAGCAAAGAATAAAATGGGGAGACGATACTGTTTGGCCTTCTTTTTGGGGATAGGGTAGAGGGAGACTCTCGATTTGCATAGCTGCTGGCACTCCAAATTGATTCAGGATTGGGGTTAAGGGGCATAAAAGTGAGCTTAAAGCGACTTAAATCGAATTTTTGACATTTTAAAAGATTAAAAGTTTGGAAATTTGTTGACCACTTTTGTTCACCAATTAGTTTTTTTTCCCACCTTTTGTTTAAGAAAAAGGGAATCTTCGAAAACGCTCATAAACTTTATAAAAAACTAGCTGTACCCGGCGCGACTTCGTTCGCTTAAAATTAGTTTTGAGTACGGTTGTCAAGACTTTCCCATTTCCACACCACCCCTGAGGTAGAGAAATTGGTGCGTTTTTTTTAATGTGGTAACTCTAATTAGACCTATTCCACTGAAACTTTCTAGGTTTAATAATGTTAATTAATATGATTACTTTAAAACCTCTGTGTAAACAACATTTTTAGAAGATCCTTCAGGAGCGAGAATAATAAGGCTACTGGCAGAGCTAACTTTAGAGCATGTGACATAAAATTGTCCATGAGAGAAGCAATCTTCTCTAAGATCTAGTCCAGCCAGCTTCAAAGTCTGCCCCTGCGATTTATTTATAGTTATTGCAAAGCAAACTTTTAGAGGGAATTGTAGCCTTTTAAACTTAAACGGCAGACTGGATGGTATTAATGGGATCCTGGGTATAAACACTGTTTCCCCCTTCGCGCACCCCGTAAATACTGTTGCTTCGATTACATTCTTATGAAGAACTTTTATCTGCAATCGTGTCCCATTGCATAACTTTGGGGGACTTAAATTTCGCAATAACATTACGGGTGCTCCAATCCTAAGAGACAGATTATGCTGAGGAATTCCTGGAGGATTCAAAGAATTTAAAAATTCAATAGGGCAATGAACAGCATTATCAGCATCATGAACAGAGTCGACCGATTTATAGGAGACTTCTAAACCATCAAATGCCAACAATAAGTTTGTCAAGAAGGTTTTACCTGTCCCTCCAGGTGCATCCAAAAAAATATTTCACCCATCTCAGCCCCAACGCTTTGTAAAACTGTATTGTATACGACTTTTTACTCGTTCGCTTAATATTAGTTTAGAGTTAGGAAATTGGGTTGTCAGGACTTTCTTATTTCTTATTTGGGCTTTTTTGAAAACCTTGGTGTAAACAACCTTTGTAGAAGATCCTTCAAGAGAGAGAATCAGAAGGATACTGGCAGAGCTATATAATAAATGAAAGTGATCCAAGTAAAAGTCGTGAGCTTGTATACTTTTTTATCAGTTACAATGTTATCAATGCAATTTTAATTTGCGCACAAATATGTATACTTGTTTGTAAATTGGAATTTGTTGTTTTCAAATTTCTTGTTTTGAATGAAACGAAAACCTTTGTACACACAGTAAAAGATTGGCATCCAATACAAAAACAGCAAAGTAACGTATTATTTTCAGATTCCACATTTGATCGATAAACGGGTATAATAAATCATTTTATTTGTATTTAAGCACATTATCTACTATCGAATAGAAACATACGCACATTGTATGTATGTACATGTATTGTACATATAAGCAAATCAAAACATATGCAAATATACATATGTACATACGTATTTGGTCAAAAGTTCGAATCTTAAGATTAATATTTAACTTGGAAACATTTTGGCTTTGCTTACAGAATTTGTAGTAATTTTCTATTTTCTTCCATGGTGGAAATTAAATAAGGCTCTTACTTCTGCTACAAAATGAAAAATAAAACCTAAGCATTTGATCCACAGGACTGACTATTGATCGAAAATCATATTGATCGGAGCAGCAGTTTAAGTTTTTAAAATCCTAAACAAATTTAACTTAAATTGCCTCTTTCCCCTCCCCTTTCCCTGCAGCACTACCCCTCCCCCTCATCAGTTTTCTTGGCTGTTGCTCTCTCGGCCGTCGCTCTCTTGGCTTCTGGGTTTCGTTCTCTCGACAGGCTCCCGCAAAATACAACGCAATGACTTAGAAAATCTAAATAAATTCGTTAAAAATACTTAAAAAAATGTTAAAAACTTGAAAAATTAAACTTAAGCATTTGGGCCATAGAATAACTATTGAGCGAAAAATCATCTTGATCGGAGCAGCGGTTTAGATTTTTTAAATCGAAAAGTTAATTTTAAATGTAGCCCCCAAATTTTGGGGGATATCAAAATTTCTTTAGATTTCTAATTAGGCCTTTTCAAAACCTAAAATTCGGAAAAAACCAAATATCGAAATTCCAACCAGTTTAGAAGTTAAGCTTAAATACATCAACTTTTTTGCTCAGAATAATGGATGTTGGAGCTGTTTGGGGCCACTGGGAGGACATATGGATCTTAGTGGGCGCCCACGCCCCCAATGGAATACTGTGGAAAACTTATGGGGTTTGCTCCTAACGGTTTGGGCTGTGGCCGTATCCCCTTAAAAATGGCCTTTTTTTTTTTTATATTTTTGAAGAAAAAGTTGATTTTTTTTTTTTTTTTTTTTGGAATCACTAGAGAATTATTTTCCCACGGTTTAGAATTTATAAAAAACAAAAAACTTTTGAACTTTTAAGTCGTTTAAGCACTCCTTAAAAATCGTTATTTCAGAAAAATATAAAAAGGCCCATGATTGCCACCAGAAAAAAATCGCTTGCCCACATCTTAAAAAAAGATAGTTATACCCGTTACTCGTAGAGTAAAAGGGTATATTGTATTCGTGCAAAAGTATGTAACAGCTAGAAGGAAGCGTTTCCGACCCTATAAAGTATATATATTCTTGATCAGGGTCACTAGCCGAATCGATATAGCCATGTCCGTCTGTCCGTCTGTCTGTCCGTCCGTATGAACGCTGAGATCTCGGAAACTATAAAAGCTAGAGGATTGGCATTTTGCATGCAGATTCTAGGAGTTCCTACGCAGCGCAAGTTTGTTTCAAAAAGGTGCCACGCCCCCTTTAACGCCCACAATCGCTTATATACGATTTTAAAAATTTAAATATTTCGGAAAAGTAAAAATGC